AAGGGTGTTCTTTTAGTCAACAGGAATTATGAGTTCGCCAAAGGCACAAAATGGCCAAGGAAGAAAAGAAAAAGGGTCAGGCCTCAGAAGGAGAAGACAAATGGGTTCCACACCTGTGACTTGGGGTTTTCAGCATTTTTAACAGTTTTTCACCAGGTGGCTGGCTGAAGACACCTCTTGCATCCACCTATTTATCACAGGCAACCATGAGAAAGAGAAAATGTCAACTGAAACGATGTGCCAATTGTCTACAGATTAGGCCTCAGTTGCTCTCCCTATGGGCCCTTTTCAGGAGTAACCACCAGCACACAACAAAATAGGGGTAGGCACCCACACCCCCACTTTGAAACCTTTTGCAAACCTTCTTTTAGTGGCTGTTGTATTTCATCTGTAATGTGCAGCACTACATCCTTGGTGTTTCATCATGTCTTAAAGATATTTGTTAGAATATTTAAGAACAGTTAAGAGCTATGTCAAAAGCTATTAAAGCAATGGCACTATAAATCTAAAAACTGGAACATATATTCCAAGGAGATGGAGGTATGAAGGCACTTATTAAGATGAAAAAAAATACAATGAAGCCAGAGTTGACATGAAGAACCCCAGTGTGAGCATTTAATCAGCACCAGAGTTCAAGACAGTTTTTTTTTTTTAATTCAAGACAGTTTTATTGCTATTTATGTAGTTTAGTTTGGGGTGTCCTAGGACCCTAACAAAATCCCAGTTCTCCTTAGCACCTTATCTGAATTTTAAGAGAAAGAGTATGTCTGTGTGTCTCTGTGTGTGAGACAGAAAGAGTGATTTAATGCTGACCCAGATCAAAAAGGTACTTGTGCCTTTTTTTTGAACCAAATAAACTGACTTCTTTCAAGACGTGAAGTGGATTCATATTTTTGCTTCTATGCTTTAAGAATGGGTCACTTGTTGCTTTTGCAACTCATCTTTCTTCCCATAAAGTGGAAAGATTATACCATGCATATAAGAAATGAAATAGTTCTGAGTTCTATGTAAATACAAATACATAAGGATACTGGTCAGGGAGTGGTGTTCACAGTCAGAGAAGGAGCTTCAGCAACTCTGTGGTGAGAAGTAGGAGCCCCAAATGCTTGTCAGTCTTAAAAATAGGCAGCAAAAGTCAAGGTTTCCAGAGAACCTCAGAGGGCTCTTCATTTGCTTTCTACGAGCTGGATCCACTTACAAGACTCTTCCTTAGAATACAGCACAAGAACCAGTACTTATTTCATAGTGAAATTGCTATGTAATTTCAAAGATTTGAGAAGGAGAAAAATAACACTGAACAGTGCTATTCTTTATGAATCCTCAGCTAACTGCAGTTACATGAGATGAAAACACAAAATTAGGCAAACAATCAAAATACTATTATCATTTACATTGAAACTCACCATTCTAAATAGAGAAATTCATTTTGTTTTTGTAAAAGGTAAAAAAAAAATGGTAGCTATATTACTCATGTTAGGTCTGTATGATTTAAAACTCTTCCACACTGCGTGCATGCCTCACTCCACACTGTGTGCATGCTATGTGTGTGTGTATGCATGTACATATGTAATTTATTTACTGTATGTATTAGTATACATAATCTTGATATAAAAGACATGTAATTCTCTTAGGTTTTAAAGGTTTAACATTATACTGATAATATGCTACTGCATTAAGCAAATCTGATGCTCACCAATACAAATCAAGAGAAAATATTCCCCAAACCAAAGAACCACCATTCTCACTCTAAGTCTTCGGCCAAGTAAAGAAAATACAGTGGCCTACAACTCTGCTGGGCTTTAGACCTCTTGGTCAATAAATTCACTGTGATATTAACTTTTGAACAAAGGAATCATCTCCATGGATGGCCACAGTTTACCTTTTGTTTAGGAGACTGTGCACAAACTTCTCAAAAGAGTCAAACACAGTACACTTTTATTTGTAGCCACTGTGGTCTCCTGTGAGACCACAATGGTGGTCTATTATTGCTAAAATGCTCCTGAATTTGGGAAGGAAGATGTAGTTTTCTCAGATGAAGAACTCTAATTAAGGCACTGATGAATTAAACAAACAAGCACTGTGCTGTTTCTAAACTCCAGCCTTCAACTATCACCAGGATACAAAAGGGGAAGAAAACAGGACCATTTAACTCAAAATATTTTTGTCACCAGCTCTGGTGGGTTGCAAGACTGAGAAGCTCACTTTTTCCCCCATGTAAAAAGGAATGTTCATGGGAAAATGTGAAATTAAAAATATTCTATCAAATGAGATGGTACAGTTTTTAAAATGAGAAATCATAGTTATTACTGTAACATGTTCTGCATGTTACAGTATGCCACTGTAAGCAGGTGAATCTTCCTATCATGAATATTTGTCCCTGTTTAAATTTTAAGCCATATACCAAATAATCCAATGTGTCACTGAAGCAATTCAGACACATTCTAATATAAATGATGCTTAACCTGTTATTTTTTAAAATCCCATATAAAAGATGATCCAATTAACCTCACTGAACAAACACCTTCTAACAAAGAAATTCAAGAGGGCGCAGGCATTTTCTTGAAGGTGTCACTCCCCCCTCAACTGATAACCCTACCCGAATGAACCACTCTTAAAAGCATTTGAATTTCCATTAAAGTTAAAAATATTATACATATTAAGTATTTTCAACTTTTATAAATTTTCCTTTCTTACCAGAAACTGATTTCACTAGTAAGAAGATATTTCTTTAACATCATTTTGTCTCTGGAAGTTTAAACAAGGTACTTCAAAGATGAAATACACTCTGCAGCAGGGTGGGAAATCATGCGAGGGTAACGTGAGAAAAGCCCCGAGTTAAAATTCACTCCGGGTGGGTTACAGTCCCCAAAGGGAAGGGAAACTGCATGTGAAGCCTGTGCAGCTTCAGACCTTATGGAATCGTTAGTTTTTGGGCCACTGGATGTGATATTGTATGCCTCCAAATTAGAAGGAAAAACAGTCATCTGCTTCTGAGATTCCTGAGGAATCACCAATGATGCTTGACAGATTTTAAAAATACATTTCAAATAAACCTCAAGTGATCTGATGTTTTACTATTATTGAGAGTTTTCCTGAGAAGGTTTTCTGACCCACAGGGAGCAAAGGTACCAAGTTTTCAAAACCGGGATAATTCTGTTTTTCAGAAAGCAAGCTCAGGCTAAATAGAAGCAAAATGCTTTTACCTCAAAAATAAGAAAAGTTTTTAATTAATTTTTTTTTTACAAATGGCTTTATAAATGATTTTATAAAGTTGAATTCTGTGATCCCACTATATGTGTATATATGAATTTAAATATGAGCAGGAGCTAGAACATCTTCGTGGTGACAGCGGAGCTGTTCAGAAGTGTCCGGTGTTGGCCTGATCCTGCACCTACAGTCACAGCCTAAAGCGGCAGAGGCTTTCACAAAACTCATCGCTCTCGCTGTCCTCAGAATGGAGAGGCATACGTGAGCAACACCGACACCAGGGATTACGAATGTTACCGCCTAGTCTGTCCTTTCCAGCTCTCAGGGAAAAAAAAAAAAAAATCAAATTCACCAGTTACCCAAGTTTTCCTACTGAAATTGAAAACACTCACGTGGATTTGTGCGTCGCACTTTGGGGGCCAAGACTGATCCTCCGCGTGAAGAGCGACCTTGGAGCCGGGCTCCCTCTGCCCTGTGGGTCTCGACCGGGTCACCCGCCCTGCCGCGGTCCCGCGTCCCGCCCGGGCTGTACTACGCTGGCTGCTCAGGGGCCCAGAGCTGTCCCCGCGTCGCCACTTTGGGCGCGGGCCGCGCAGGCACTTGTTAGAGTGCCCTGCTAACTTGGCCGCGGAGCTCTTCCCAGCTTTCTTTCACAATGACTTCCTGAAGTTGCTCACTCGCATTGTTCCCCATTTCTCCGCCACACTCCCCGCCCCCCGCCGGCTCCGACCCGGCTTCGAGCTCCCTGCCGACCGGCTGCCCCGCGCGCACAGCGCCGCCCGCGGGTAAGCGCACTTCGTTCCCTCCGCCGCGGCCGCCCCCGTCGCGCCCGCGCGTCTCCACCTGCGGCAGCCCAGAACGGCGGTGGCCCGAGCGCGCGCGCCCCCGCCTTGCGCTCCGAAAACTTTGGGGTGGCGCACACTGCCAGTGTCCAGCTTGACTTGCCCTCAGTCCGCCCGGCCCAGAGCGTGCCTTGGCCGCCTCTGGGTGCGCTGCTCCGGTATACGGACCGATGAGCGGAGCTGAAAACAGAACGGGACGCGGAGAGGTGCGCGCTGTCCCGTCTCAGTCCCCACCGCTGGATCCCAGCTTGCCGGACGCGCGTCCCAACAGCAACTCTGGGGCCTGCCGTGGCGCGCGCACAAACTTTGTAACGGCGTCGGACTGGGGCCAAGATCCCCAAATCTGCCTGGGCGGCGGCGGGCACGGGCCGTACCTGCTGGCGCCGCCGCCGGCTGCAGCCCGTTCGCCCGCGCCGGGCCCGCTCGGCGCGCCGCCGCCACCCCCGCGCGCAGCGCGCCCGGGCCCTCCCCTTGCAGCCAAGCTTCCTCATTCCAGCGCAGCATCGCGCCGCGGCCCGGCACGGGATGCCGCGGCCGGCGCTTTGCCCGCGGGCCAGGCAGCCCAGCTCGGCCACGATGCTGCAGGACCCGCGCGTAACCCGGGGTGGAGGGGGGCGGCGGCGAGGGCTACATGTGCTGGCCCGCCAAGAAGGGGAGGGGTTCGCGCGCTGCTTGGCCGGCAACCCTGTGCGCCAAGCCAACTGGTCGGTTTCAATACCAGCTCATTTGCCCCACAGGAGACTTAAGGGGCTGGGGACGCTGTAAAACACTTTTCTCAGGGTCTACCAGCGTTTGCTGCCCTCCCAGCTCCAAGACCCTGGAACTGGAACCCATTGGCTCCCAGATACGGGCTGTGGCTAGTGCCCAACCAAAGGGGTGGGAAAAGTTGATCTTCCGCGAGTGAGGGGAAGATGCAATTCATTTTCCCAGACAAGACAACCAATGGAATACCTCTCGTCTCTCTTCCCTCCCACCTGCGCAAGGCAGAAGTTAGGATGGCGCCTTCCATCTTGGCCTGTGTGCACACGCAAGTGTGGAAGGGGATCTGTGGGCGGAGGTGACAGCAAAGGCAGTTCTGCAGTCCCGCTCGACGGCGCTTTGCACCATAGACCTCTCTGTGGCGTGTAAGATACCAGGTGCCTGGGTGGAAATAGGAATGCCACCTCTGACAGCGCACCCCTCAAGGAACCTCTCGTTCTGATTAGCTGGGCCCCACCCCGAGCGGGGACCAAACGTGTGTTCTCAGCCTTAACAGAAGAGGAGGAATCACTAATTCCACAAACAAAGCCAGGTCCCCGCCGGGTGGCAGGGGAGGGAACTCAGAGGGGAGAGATGCGCCCCTTGTCTTTCCAGGCTTGCTGGAGCCCTCAACAAAGCACAAAATAAAGATGGAGCTGTCCTGTGAGGGCTGCAGACAGTCACAGGGTGCCTGCTGGGACATGGTAGCTCCAGGAAGGCTCGTGTTAGGATGTGCAGGGGTAGATGAAGGCACAGTCCTTCCAGGTAGAACAGCTGGGCAGCCAGAAAATACAGAAAATGTCACTTAAGGGTAATTGAGAGTGACTGGGATCACAGCTGCCCAGCTGAAGCATATCCTGGGGGTGTGGCCTGGCTGAGAAGACTGGTGTGGTAGGGCCCCCAGCACACACCTCAGAGATCAGTTTTGCCTCTGCATTCCCTGGGAGAAGTCCCCACTATCCACCAGGAACCCCAACACCACCTGAGCAAAAGTTTTGCTGCACCACTTAAATAACATCTACTACTCAGTTTGTCCCGGCAGACATTCAACTGCGCAGAGCCCAAGCAAGTTAACTTGGTGATAAAGCCCAGACTAGTGAAAGTTCTATTTCTAGTCCTCCCCTTCACTTTGTGACCTTGGGTAAGTTCTTGAAACTCCTGAGCTTCATCTTCTGTATTTGTAGAAGAAATGCATGTTATTAACCATAGAGAGTCCTTATCAGGATTCCATGAGGCAATAACTACAGGGTATAAGACCCAAAGGAGGCCAATGATGTAGGGAAGGGGTCATGGGACATCTCTGGTTCTTGGATATGGAATAGGCTTTGCTCTTTAAATATGTGCATTAGTCCCCAGGAATAGATTCAGGTATGGTCTCCCACCAAGGCATGTGAGGCTCTCAACCCAGATAATTTGGGCTGTATGCTATTGTTGGAAATCCTTAGCCTTTCTAACCTGTTTCCCCATTTATAAATTGGTGGCAGTCTTTCTTCTGGGATTGTTTGTGAGTTAAATAGATCATATATGGAAAATCTTGTTATGTGCCTAACCAAGGAGGACTCCGTATATAGTGATACTTTTGTATTCACCCCACTAACTACCAATGTCCTATTGAGATGGGAAGAGTGCTGCAGAGTTAGACCCCACTTTTTACTCCTTACTCCCCCCACCCACCCCCAAGCAAGTAGAATTGAAGTAACTGTGTTTGTAACCTGGGTCTTGAGGAGAGACACCACGAGACCAGAGAGTTCAGTGAAATCAAATGCCGAAGCCCTAAGACACAGCAATTAAAGTATGTTGGAGGGGAAAACATATTTTGGGAAACTGAAATGTGAGATTTTTTTAAAAAATGTTATTTCTATACTCATTTTGTTTTGTTTATACATTAGTTGTATGTATTGTCATTTTTGTAATGTTCTAGTGTAGTTTAATTTATTCAGGAATAATAGCTAAATTACTGGTTCTTCTTTTGAGAGTGTTTTGTCAAAAGAATAAAGACTACCTATGGAATTAATCAAAGACTCCTTATTCAGAGCTCAGCACCGTAAGGAAGTCAGCTAGGCACCTTTGTTCTGGCAGAGACTGGAAGAGATTTTAAAGGAGAGTGAATTTTATAAAGTAAAAGAATGATTGAGGAGATCTGATATGGTTAATAGCTTTGTTTCTTACTGAGTTTTCAGCAAGTTACTAAACCTCCATAGGCTTCAGTTTCTTAGCTGCAGAACATACCTATTTCACAAAAGTTTTGATAGAATTAGGTGAAATTAAATGAAATAACATCTGTAAGTAGTCGTTACAACTATACTTTCCTTCAATTAAAAAACACTGTTAAAAAGTGCTATAATGCATCCTCATTTTTCCTCCAATGGTTGGGAAACAGCATGAATAAATATTTTTAAAATAACAAGAAAAGATTTTTTATAGTTAAGAAGAACTGATTATCTTTCTATAGTTTTAATCTGAGAGAATTTAAATAGTCCTATCTGAAAAGTAACATGACAAGTAAAACCCAGGACTTGGATGGAACAGTTGCAACAAAGTTTCTTTTTCCAATTTTCATGTTCTGCAGCTTCTGCTTCTGTGTTTTTGAGAACTAATGGTTCCTGGCTTGGGGCAAGGTCCTTAATCCTTTTTCTTGGGCTCCCACCTTGGTTTGGTTCTTCCTGAGCACAGAGCATTGGGTCCCACTTTACTGCTGGAGGATTTGGAGAAGAGGGCAGGATCTCTCATGTCAGTGTCTAGGAAAGAAGCACCTGGAGAGACATCCCTCTGGGCACTCAGTTTGCAACAGCTAGAAAGCCCTCTCTGGCACACTGGTGCCTCCAGCTTCTAAAATGCACAGGAATTTATTAGTGCTGCTGACCATTCACATCAAAGGCTTCAATCACTTTCACATCCCAGGTATACTACAGCTGACAACCTAATTCTTCCCACTTCTCAATAGTTCTTTCCCTTTGTTCCCATTGGTATTTGTAAGAGAAATGCACTTAGATTCTCTAAAATAATATCATTCATCAATATCATTGAGCAAAAGAGAGTAGAAGCCAAACTGAATCAGATACAGTGATTTGAAGAAGTGAGATTTACACAAAATACTTTCAGATGGAAAGTTTTTGAAAATGTTTTGGGTGAATGAAGGAAAAGTAGATATTCCTTTGACCTGATAGATTAGAATAAAAACAGAGAGCTTGTGTCACCCCTGTTGATTTCACTGGATAGGAATGAGATTGGAACACTCCATCTGAAGGTGTAATGTCTTCATTCATTTATTAAATGGGCATGATGCATTTATTTATTACTTAGTGTTTGAGACAGGATGGTCACAGTACTGCATAAGATGCAGTCTTGTCTCTTAAGAGGCTCAAAATCTATTGAAATAATTGGGCAACTAAATAGCTTTATTTTGGTGTAAAATGAGTCTGATAATCCTTTTAGAACACACAGGGTGGCATTTAATGGCTGTTGGAGTTGGGGAAGGCTTCATGGGCACAGTGAAAGAGGAGGGAGGACTGAACACAGAGAAGTGTAAGGAGATGCTTTCTTCTAAATGATCCAGGTAGGTGCTGTTCAAAAGTTCCCTCTCAAAGAGCAGACTAAGAGTGATATTTTATTAACCACCCTGACTTTGGTCCTGCTGTCTTATGGACATTGTCACATATTATCTCCCATCTGACAACTGAGCAAAGCTAGGATTACATGACATTAAATCTCAGAGAGGGACTCCTACCTTGGGTTGATAGAAAGCCCAGAGCCTGGCAATTAAGTGAACAAACTAATTAAAAACTAATTAAACTAATTAAAAAAAATGTTTTTTTAGGTCAATTGCGTTGCAGTTATTAGGTTTCCCCGGGTTTCAGTTTCCTCTTCTGTAAAATGGGAATAAGAATACTAACTTTCATTGTTACAACAATAGCAATAGCAAACATTCCTCAGGAATGTTTGAGGTCTAAATGGGTTAGTACATGCTAAACACCGGTTAGGTGATTGATGTTTTGAAGAATTCAGTTTCTAAGTGGTTGGGCTGGGAGACAAATCTTGGTCTGTTCTTTTAACCATGACTCTGCCTGTTCTTTGCAAATGGCCTTTCAAACCATGCCAGCTCCTCCTATGGCTCCATCCTCATTCTCTGATCATCTCTGCCTTACACTCTCACCAGATGGTTTTCCCTCTACCAACCGTCTATGTCCTGCTTATGTCCCATTTCCCAGTGGAGAACTGGTATCTCTGTAAGGACAGATTTCTTCTAAGACAGCCCTTACCAATTGCTGGGAAACATTTTCCTCCAGCTATCCTTACATTTTTTATTTCCCCTAAGATCAAATTTTCAATCTTGATAGTGCCAGTCTTGGTAAGGATTTCAGATGGACATTTTTGGGAAAGATTAAGAATTTTAAATAGGCTTTCCAACAGGTAAATACATAGAAATTTAGTCCTGTTATTTCTGTATTATTGCAGTATTTTTCTCTCTTTGGTGTTTACGAATATTTGTTATCTAGTCTTTAAAGAAAATAGAATAATTTTTGGAAAATTATTTTGGACATGCCTCATGCATCTCTCTGTGGTCAGTACCTTGAAAACCTCTACAGAATGAGATATCAATGTTGTCTTTATACTGATGACTCTAAATATTTACATCTGCAGTTCAGATCTCCTGAAACCCAGAGCTGTGGACTTTTCAGTGGAAAGGATCCTATAAATCTTGGTGTCTATCCCATCCCCCATATAAGGGCACTGTCTGAATTTGGTTGAGTTACTTAACTTTTGTGAGAATCACATTTTCATCTCTCCAAAAGGGAAAATAATCCTACTTCATGAAGTTGTTTTAAGAATTGAAATAAGAGCATGGATATGAATCCTCAATGGTAATACCTCTTTATCAACATTATCTCTCCTCTCCTTTTCCCTACTTGGAGATGTTTTTGAAGATTATTAGAAGGTGCCATCTACCAAAGAGTGGTAGAGTTTCTGAGATGTGTTCCCAGATCCTCAGATGGGGCTAACCTGAACCCAATTGCAAGTTGATCCTTTCTTTTTATGAAAAGAGCTGGAAGAATGATCTTTTGTGGGTGGAGCAAAGTTTGGCTCGTCCCAAGAGTAGCAAGTGAGCATTTATAGTAGTATATGCTACATTTGAAAGTTTATTTTAAAAATCTTTGGGCTGGGGATGTGGCTCAAGAGGTAGCACGCTTGCCTGGCATGCGCGAGGCACTGGGTTCGATCCTCAGCACCACATAAAAATAAAAATAGAAGATG